AGTTTCATTCGACTATGTTTTTGTGTGGAAATGCATTGCTTCTTACATCAATCTAAAAGGATAAGTATACACTGTGACGAATCCTACAGCAAGTCAAGGAATCATTTCGCGAACTCAAATTTAGACCATACGGGGGACACCCGATGTCATTAGATCTTTAGCCACTGGAAAATAGGCGACCCACAGGTGACCTCCCAATGAGTCTTAGCACCATAAACACTTCCTGCAACCACATCAAACACATACTTAAGCTCAGTCCCGACTCGAAACTTGGGTGTACCATCCATAAGTTAGAGACACAACATACCAGAACGAACTGTGAACCAACTTTTACTTTTTAAGAGTAGTCAAATTCTAAAACTTGCTGCTGGCTTAGGTGTTCAAGGTGATCTTCTGGGAGTCCTTTAAGAGAGAACATGACATATTCTAAAGGACTCTAGACATTATTTCACTATAATTTACTAACATTTATCTTTTTGTCGTCACACATACCTTGGTTCCTACATAAAGGCGTCGGTGATTCACCGCTACCAGATACAAAGCCTCATAAGTGAAGGCTTCTTCAATTCCGTCCAGAACCATTTTAATTTAAAAGGACAGTGGTATTGTTTCTCGTTGAGTTAATTAACTGTTTTGATCGTAAATTAAGCATCAGAACTCCTGTTTACCCTTTAATTGCATCTACCCCAGTTAAAGTGATATTGTACCGAGTGTTTCGATTTTGCTTTTGTGTATTTATTGCATCGAAGCATACTTGATCGACTTTTACTTGATTTATTTAGTTAAAGTTTGAGAATCCTTTTACATATCCTGTTTTTATCACCATTCTAGTTGATTTTCAAGATGGCTAGATCTGCTCATAAATGTGGACAACCATATTGCTTATTTCCCGTGGAGGAAGGGATGCAATGTGATGAGTGTAATAAGTGGTTCCATAAGATGTGCACCAGATTAAGCCCCACTGCATATAAAAGGTGCTCAAAGCCCAACTCTCATTGGCTTTGTAGTTTTTGTTGCTCGAGCAAAACGTTGCTTATCCAGGACGCAATTAGTCTCCTGATGTTGGCTAATAAGAAGGTTGATGAGGGCTGTACTGGCAACCTTGGTACTGATGGCGAAGATTGCGTTAGTGCCGTAAGTGCCGTCACGGCGCAAGCCAGTCATCTAACTGTGCAACCCGCTATTAAACCGTCTACCCCGAAACAATCAATGAGTGACACCTCATTAGATATTGGTGGCCATGTTGCTACGGGAGCAACCGGTGACCCAGATAAAACAATTACTGTTCTGAGTGGTTCTAATGTGTACGCTACGACTGATGGAATATGAATGACACAGAAACGCAGAAGAGTAGGAAAGATAGCTAAAACCAATGACCGTTTACTTGATAAGTCCTTGGTGGACTTTCAGACAACTCCGCCAGGGTCCTATAGTAAAGCTTCGTCTAGCATTGTTGTGAGTCACTCGCTAGACTGCCAGGACTCTGTTACAATAAAAACTAATCGTAAGATACCAGTAGTTAAAATACAGGATCTAACGTCACAGTCGAAAGCTGTAAACACAGTTTCAAAAGAAGCTAAACCCCTTCCTAGTTTAATTATTTGGAATCTAGAGGAGTCGAAAGACAATGACCCTGCTAAGAGACATGCACATGACCTACAGATAGTGGAGTCTGTGGTAAGGAATGTACTACCTGAAGAGGTTTCAGGGGTACATATTACAAAAGTAATACGACTTGGTAATTATGTTGGAGGCGAGACCCAACCAAGAAGGGTCCTGAAGCTGGTTTTCGGGAGTTTCGAAGAAAGAGACATATTATTGAAAAACGCACCAAAAACTCGTGACTCAAATATCCGTATTCGACCAGATTGGCCGTTTGAGGATCGAATCAAGTGGAAGAATGCTCTTACGGAGTTGAGGACTCGCAAGTCAAATGGCGAAAATAACCTTACCATCAAGGGTTTTCGGGTAGTCAGGTCTTGGAAGCCAATCCCAACGAGGCCTGTAAGGGTAGAACGATTGATTGCCAAAACACCCTAAAAGTGTGTGCTACACGAACGCTCGTAGTCTTAAAAATAAAACGTCCGAGCTAAGTCTGATGGTGGAAGAATTATGTCCCGATATGATCGTTCTTACAGAAACTTGGTTTACAGTAGGTATAGACTGTTCTCCTTTCATTGCAGGTTATAGAGGGGGAGGTATAATATTATACGTTAGGGATCACTTTCGTATACAATCAACCATATTGGAGGCTCATATAAGTGGCACATGTGAGGTTGCATGTTGTAAGATTAAATCTAGAAGTGGGTTAGTGACTATAGGGGGAATATACCGTAGTCCGTCTTGTCTTGCTGACGACTTTATCCTAAGACACATCTGTTCTTGGAGTATGGCAGAATGTTGTCTCATCATTAAGGACTTCAACGCACCGCATATCAACTGGATAGAGCTTACAGTTCCAGGTAGTGGTTTCGATAGCGACCTTTTATCTATCGTTATTCAGTGTGCACTTGTACAATGTATCACAAAACTGACACATATTGATTTCAATCATGATCCGTCACTGCTGGATCTCGCCCTCACCCACCACTCTGAGGATGTCTTCGATATTCAGCACCTTCCCCCACTAGTTAACAGTGATCACGTTGTAATTCACTTTAAGTTTAGGACACATGGTATACAATCCGTATCTGTTCCACCCCGTCCCAATATCTGGAGAGCCAATATTCCGGCAATCAGAAACTGTGCTTTCTCGACTGATTGGTCGGTCGACGCGGATGGATTGATCGAAGATGAATGGAATACGTTTAAGGCTACATTCGAGTCCGTAACGTCGCCGTTTATCCCATGGTCAGCACGTAAGCTATCACATTGCCCTCCATGGATTAATAAGGAAACCCGGAAGCTGTTAAAGCGTAGGAAACATTTCTGGGACTTATCCTTGTTGACAGGTCATGCACCATTTAAGCGTGAGTACCAAAAATTCCGTAATATCTGTAAGAAAACCATAGCCAAATCCCGTACGACTTACGAACGACAGTTAGTATATGATAGCCGTACTTGTCTGAAACAATTGTTTTCTAATGTTAGACGGCGAATGAAACGTAGTGATGATATTCCCCCGTTACTGTTTCACAAAAATTCAGAATTGCTAGCTGAATCAGATTGAGCAAAAGCTGAGACTTTTTCAGACTATTTTAGCGAAGTCTTCTTTACGTTTATTGTAACAAATACTTGTCCCACTCACACCGAGGTACCAACCATGGAATCTGTACAGGTGACTGAGGAAACTGTCCTTCCGTTAATAACTAACCTCAAACCTGGTAAGATACCAGCCCCTGACGGGTTACATGTACGGTTGCTGTCATCTCTTGCGGACATTATTTCAAAACCGCTCGCGAACACCGTTCAACATGTCCCTTTCACTCGCTCAACTCCCTAGAGATTGGAAGGATGCTATAGTCAGTCTTATATTTAAGGACGGTCAGCGACAAATAGTATCTAACTACCGGCCTGTCAGTCTAACTAGCATAGTCGTTAAGTTACTTGAAAAGATAATTCGGGTTAGGTTGCTAAGCCACATAGAATCACACAACCTATTATCTCCTGAGCAACACGGATTTCGTAACAAGCGTTCATGCTTGACTAACTTGTTTATTGCGAGGGATAATTGGACAGCAGCCCTAGATAACGGTCTGTCTGTCGATGTGATATTCATAGATTTTAGCAAAGCATTTGACAAGGTTTCACACTTAGGTCTTATGCAGAAGCTCACGAGCTTCGGAATAATAGGTACTGTACATGAGTGGATAGGAAATTTCTTATGTGACCGCAGACAGAGAGTGAGGGTTAACGGAACGCTATCCGACTGGAAGCCGGTCAAAAGTGGTGTACCCCAAGGCACCATCTTAGGCCCTCTGTTCTTCCTTCTCTACGTTAATGAGTTACCGCCGTTACTTAGGTCGTCGACATTATTGTTTACGGATGATGTAAAAGTCTGGAGAACAATAAAAAGTGCGGCTGATCATCTGGATCTTCAAGCTGACTTAGACGATTTCGTTAGATGGGCTCGAGAGTGGGGCTTAGAAATCAATGCTAGGAAGAGTGTACTAATGCACATCGGTCACGGTAATAGTTACCGTTACACTATTGATGGTAAACCTCTTCCTTGCGTTCAAGAGCATAAAGGCTTAGGAGTAGTATTAAGTCATGATATAAAAACAACTACACATTGCAAAGCAGCCACTGTCAAAGGTTTTCGTGCGTTATGGTCACTTCGCCGAGCATTCAAATCTTTTGACGAGGAAACGTTTCGAATTTTGTATCCCATATATGTTAGACCACATCTAGAGTGCTGTATCCAAGCAGCTAGCCCGTGTCTGTTAAAGGACACTAACTCCCTTGGGCGTGTCCAGCGTGTAGGAACCAAATTAGTGAAGGGTCTTTCTAGACTCCCTTACGATGAGCGTTTAAAACGACTAAATCTTTTCCCCTTGTCGTATCGTAGGACACGACGTGACCTTATACTGGCACTTCGTATCTTTAATTATGATTTGGGTGTAAATATGTCCTATCTTTTTGCTCCCTCCAGCACTAATAATCTCCGAGGTCATAGCAAGAAGGTTCATAAACCACGATCTAATAAACTTAAAGTGGGATCCCGTTTTTCTCATCGAGTAGTCAATCATTGGAACGCCTTACCCGAACAAGTGGTATCAGCCTCATCAGTGAATACTTTCAAGGAGAAGCTGGACCTTCACTGAAAAGCAATGTGTCAGGATTAATACAGGTTCACCAACCTACTATCCTTATTACTGAAGACTGAAAAATTTGAACGTTCTTTAGTCTTATAAATAGCCATTGAGAGGATTCTTGCCTATCAATATCGAATGATTATCCTTTTAGTTTTAATGCATGTTCCAGAGACCATCTGAGTTTTGCCTTTTTGGACTACAGTTTATAGCTTGAACTATTGTTTTTATACATTGAGAGCTTACCTTACTTAAGGTCGTGGCAACTTCAACACCAATGGTTTCGTCGCCAGCCGACTTAACACACGACTTACAGGTTGCTAAAAAGGCAATGGAATCACCTTGGGTCGAGAAATACAGACCCATCGATTTAAACGATATCGTGGGTAATGAAAATACCATCTGTCGTTTGTCCGTTTTTGCTCGAGACGGCAACTTACCGAACATCATAATAGCTGTAACCTGTTTTTTATTTCTTACTAACCTTTCTGTAGGGTCCTCCAGGTTGTGGAAAAACCACAAGTATCTTATGCTTGGCCCGCACTCTGCTAAAGAGTGCCTATAAAGAAGCGGTCCTTGAGTTAAATGCATCGAACGAAAGGGGTATCGAAGTAGTAAGGACTAAAATCAAGATGTTCGCTCAAAAAAAGGTCAGTCTTCCTGAAGGAAGGCAAAAAATAATCATCCTCGATGAAGCCGACAGGTTAGCCGTTCACTCTATATAAGATTGTTGTCACTGAAGCTTTAAGTCCCATAGTATTGTTGAAGATTACCTAAATCCTCTATGTTTTTTTGATACGTTTATTAATTTTTCCATATTTAATAGTAATACAGATTCATCGGATAGCACTTTCTTACTGATTAAATTTTTTTCTGAGCTTTGGTCAACTGCCGCCACTCATAGAGTGTTACTTTGTCACTCACATTGTATACTGGTCAGGATAAACCATGTTAATTCCTTGCGACTTATCAACATTAGTCTTACCAAACTTGAGGTAATCGGTTAATACTTTTTATCTTTTATTTTATTGGTTGCGAAAACTCAACCAGTAGTTGGCAGAAAAGAACGACATTCCTTAATATTTTTTCCAATAACACCGAAATTCACCATAAAGTAATATAACATAAGTTATAATATTCCTAGTATAGACATACGATTTGGTTTAAATAAACTACTCTACAGGAATACCGGCTAATAACCACATTTGCCAACCACTAGTTACCTGTTTTATAAGTATTAATTATACATTTTTCATAACGAACTGTTCATAGTAGTGGACTCAAACAGTCTGTTGTGAGTCCAAAGCCCTTCACCTAACAATTATTATACAAGCAAGCAGTGAAGTAGTTTTATCAACTACGATGCGTCGTATAAATATAGACCACTTTTTTTCCTGACTCATCCCAAATGTGCTGAGTGTATGTTGTGCTAGTGACCGATCGTTGTTGTTACCTTGACGTGGTGGTCGGGCTTGCCTATCGTGATAAAGCAACCAAGCTATACTGGCTGAAACAACCTTTCCTCAAGGTACTACCATGTCAGACAACTCGGTTGAAGAGCGGTAAGACTAAAAGCAACAAACCCAAGGTCCGAAGGCGAAGTCGTACTGCTGACTGTACAGAGATGTGACAGCAGTAAGGTGTTTCCTTCAGACAACCAGCATGACAGAGATGCTGCCTTCCCACAAGAAGCGGTGGGGTTAAAAAAGGTCGACCCTAAAAATACAGACCTCACCTTATCCCACGGATATCCGTCTCCGGTGGTAAGGTCTCAACAAGTACGGAGCTAACACAAAAATTATCCTTAAAAAGGTCGTGTGTGACGGACCTCAAGCAGTTGTCCCTTGGGCACTGCGGTCACGCTCCCAGGTCACTAAGACCACCTCCAATGCAATTTCCTTTTCAGCTACCTCCAGAAGAACCCTTTCACGGTGTGGGCAACCGGGAAGTGATAACCACCCTCATACCTCTAACAGCACTCAAGACCACTGTATTCATAATCAACCTCTCTCTTCACTTCCTAATATTCCTCCTACATCGACTTTCACCTCTAAACTTCCTTTTTCGGCTTCCTCCTCAAATGTCACCATAGCCAACGATTCTAGTGCATGAAGCACTGTCCCAGGTCTACTGAAATCTCGCTCCAAACTACACATTGGAGATTTCAACGTACGCACCCTATGTCAAATCTGTCAACAGGCTTCCTTGGCTAGAATCCTAGGATCTCGTAACATTAATGTATGCTCTGTCTCTGAAACACACATACAGGATCCTAGTGTGCTCAGTCACTTAACCTCACCTCGCCAAAACGGAGGGCCGACGAGATACACCCTCCGTGTATCTGGTGACCCGACGGCCAGTTCTCATGGACTGGCAGGTGTAGGCATATCACTAAGCATGGGGGAGGAACAAGCACTGTTAGGGTATATCTCCGTTGATAGTCGTTTATGTGCTGTTCGGTTAAACGGCTCCGTAAGAACTCGGAAGGATAGGGACACACGTCGTTGCCTTTTTGTCGTTTCTGCCTACGCTCCCACTGACTGCAGCTCGGATGAAGTGAAAGATGAATTTTACAAAAAGCTATCTGAACTTCTTCAGAAAGCTAAACGTTCAGACATAGTACTCGTAGGAGGTGACTTTAATGCCCAGATAGGTAGTTTAAATCAAACAGAAAGGCATTTAGGTGGATATTTTAGCATTCCAGCACAGCGAACAGATAATGGTGACCGTCTGCTGCAACTGTGCTCAGACAATCGCTTATTTTTAGCAAACACAAATTTTAAGCATAAGGAGAGACATCTTCTAACATGGTGGCTCGTGCACTAAACTAACGATGGACTCAAATAGACCATATTGCCATCAGTCATCGTTGGAGAGAATCGACAGAAGATTGTCGCTCATTCTGGGATACCTGTTTGGACTCCAACCATGCTCTAATGCGGGCACGCATCTGCTTGCGCCTCACTGGACGCAGAAAAGCCACACTGAAAAGACTCAGTAGAATTGAATTGAGTGATGACAACACCAAAAATAGATTCCATGAATAACTGAGGTCACACTTAGGTAGTTCTGAAAATGAGGCTGACCCAGATGTTGCTTGGAAGGATGTAAAAACAACCGTGATATCTATTAGTGATTTAAATAAAAGGATTACAAAAAAACCAATGGATTTCTTCTAGGTCTATTGCACTCTCATCTGCTCCCAGTCCAGACGTTTAGAACGATGGGTGGAACATTTTAGAGAGCAGTTCAGCTGGCCTCCAGCTACTCTACAACTACCCTCCATTTCCAGACAGTGTGAATGGAACATTGAAGTAGGTTAAACAATTCTAGCTGAAGTTCAAAAGGCTATAGCTGATCTGAAACGAGGAAGGGCAGCTGGTCCAGATGGATTGACTCCAGAGGTCTTTAAGTATGGTGGTCTAGTTTTAGCGACTAGTTTGACTAATATTTTAGCTAAAATCTGGGAGCTGGATGTAATCCCATCTAACTGGTCACAATAACTGATTGTCCCAATATATAAGAAAGGGTCAAAATCATCCTGTGATAACCATAGTGGGATTAGTTTGACTAATATAGCATCTGAAATACTAGCCTCGATAATTATCGGACGCCTAACTAAGACTCGTAAACTGCAAACACGAGAAAATCAGACTGGCTTCAGATCTGGTTGTGGCTGCATCGATCACATATTCACCATTCGGCAGGTTCTAGAACATAGGCATACTTATCGGCGTCCAACAATGGTGGTCTTTCTTGACTTAAAAGCAGCATTTGACTCGGTTGACCGCGAGATTCTGTGGCAGTATCTGTCATTGAAAAGTGTACCTCAGAAGTACATAAACCTTGTGAAGGCTCTTTACTCGCACACTACTAGTCGAGTCAGAGCTTATGGCGAACTTTCATCTGCTTTTGCAACCTCAAGTGGTGTCCGTCAAGGCTGTCCACTTTCTCCATTTTTGTTTAACTTCATCATAGACATACTGATGGAAATAACTTTCTCATCGACTGAATTCTCAGGTATTGATCTCTTACCAGGAGGTCCACTTATCGACTTAGAATACACAGATGACAGACCTGTTTGGTGAAGACGCTGATAAAATGCAAAGTCTTCTGGTAGCACTAAGCAACAATGCCAGAATGTTTGGAATGCGTTCCTCTCCCTCTAAATGCAAGTTGTTTCAGGACTCGTCCGCGTAAACACCTGAACTAAGGATGGGGAATGAAGTAGTCGAACGCGTTGACAACTTCACTTATCTTGGAAGTCTGATCAGCCCTAATGGGTTGGTGTCTGACGAAATCTCAGCACGGATTCAAGAAGCTCGTTTGGCTTTCGCCAACTTACGTCACCAATGGCGAAGGCGAGATATCCGTCTATCAATAAAAGGATGAGTATGCTACACGGCAGTTCGTTCTGTTCTACTTTAGGGCTGCTTATGTTAATAATGAAACAGCCAATGTTACAAAGTATATATCGGTGTAATCTATCTCAGTCAGTCCGTTCTGTTTTACTTTAGGGCTGCTAAACGTGACCATTAAGAGTCGAAGATACCCATAAGCTACTAGCATTTGACCACAGATGCTTTAGAAATATTGCTGGCATCTTCTGGGATCACCGAGTAAGTAATAGTGAGGTTAGACGCAGGGTATTAGGGAACGATGGTAAATCAGTTGATGAGGTTGTGAATCTTCATCGACTGAGATAGTTGGGCCACATGTTACGTATGCCTGAATACCGATTACCACGACGTGCAATGCTGACTGGTGTTGAGGATGGTTGGAAAGGAGTTAGGGGTGGCCAAACCAAAATGTGGCATCAGTCCTTGAAGTCACTAACTTCTGGTCTGAGCCATGTTGGTAGATGCAGACTACTTAGTTGGGATCCGCGTGACTATCGTAACCAATGGCTGGATACTCTGTGTGACATGGCTCAGAATCGATCAAAATGGCGTAGGTGTATACACTCTTTGTCTTCCCTTAAATTAAGAGATTAAAATCACTTCATGTCTTTCTTTCCACGAACTAATTCTTTATATGTAATCTTTCTTTTGTATATTACCATCACTACTTCTATGAATCCGGTGTTCATCTTGTTGTGCTAATGAGGTATGGCAATTTTGACCGATGCATATATGTGCCTGGTCCTACGTCTTAGCTGACTGACTTACTGAAAGTGATGTTAGTTCTAAGCATCAAAATAAATTAACGTAAAGTCAAACGGCTTAAACTGTGGTTCACCTATTTCAGCTTGTAGCATCTCATCTACAATTGTGTCTGAATACGTTTAGTGTTGTTAAACTCCTCAATTAATGTCATTCAATCAATAAAAATTTGTCTATATCTTTGTAGTGTCATCATATTTGTTTGAGCATATATGATTGTTCATGTCATAGCCTACAGATATGTTACTCCTACCAGCTCAAATTTTAGTTGCTTAAATCGCTCAATCATTCACTTTCCTACATATATACGTTTCTTAAATCGTATTCATTCGCTCGCTAGTATTCTTCTGAATACACATTTCTATTATTCGCTTTGTGCTTGTGGCTTAGTGATCTGCGCTGCACAATAAAAAAACTAGTCAGTGCTTCATATTGTCTTTTAAAGGTTATACACCGTTGCGAGTTATCTAATTGTGATTATGAGAACAAGTAATATTCAAAGCATTATAAATCATCCTGAAGATATTGCATAACAATTCCTACGTTGCTTATGACGAAATCGGCGTTCGTAAACTGGGAGAAATCTCAAATCGCAAAATAATTTCCCACAATGTTTTTAAACTTTGTGTTTCTGTTTTGCGGCAAACTAGTTTCAGTTTGATGACCTTAACTCCTTATCAAAAAATCTTGTGTCCCTGTTTCATAGTATGCGATGAAAAAGATCCACTAAAGCTCAGTGTATCAGTGTTTGGCTGTTTGTTTGGTAGTTTTAGGGTTAACAGAATTTTAATTGCACTTCGCTCTTACAAATTCTCCTCATTAGCGTTAAATTATTATTACTTCTACATGTACTTCTCTTATTTTGTACATAAGCATGACTGAAGGTGCTCAACAGGCACTTCGACGGATCATGGAGTTATACTCTCGAACAACTCGTTTTGCATTGGCTTGTAATGATTCTTCGAAGCTCATCGAACCAATACAATCAAGATGTGCTGTTTTACGTTATGCTCGTTTAACATCTGCACAAGTGATGGCCAGATTGCTAGAAGTTTCGCGTATCGAAGGTGTTTCGTATACAGAAGAAGGTTTGGAAGCCATTGTGTTCACTGCAGACGGTGACATGAGACAGGTAAAGTTTGTCTTGTGTCTTATAACGTAATTGAGAAAAATGAAATATCCTATTATAAATTTGAAGAAAGTAAAAATGAAGATTTCAGTTAAATGATATAAATCCACGGACCACATCTGCTTACAACCTAGAAACAATAGAATTAACCATTAAAGAGCAAAGTAAGCATGGATATTGTAAATCAGCAAGGTGTTAATTAGATTTTGGCTCAGCATCCAGATGTTGTTTGATGGTAGGCCAATAATATAAGTACTCTAGAAGAAATCTGACAGGTACATAAAAATAGTTTTTAAAAATTGAAAATTTGTGTCATAGTTTATATCATAATTGAAAAGATTGGGTAGCTGAGTAAAGCCCAAATAATAAATATGAAATATAAAACTGTAATAAATGCTCTGGAGGTCATAATAATAATTAGTAAAGGACTTCAAATTTATTCCGCTTAGTTGAAGCCATTGTTGTGGAAAAAATTTAAACCAAATTTATGCTTCTGAAAAGTCAGTTACCAACCATGTTTTGGTGACCTCATTCTCATAGGTTCGTTTCATACGTGTATCCATTTTCAAAAGATGATTGTGTTTTTTAGTACTTAAAGTTTCTTTCAGACCTCTACTCCGTCAACTAGTATGGTAACAACTAACTGATAAAAAGCCTCTAAGTTCGGAGTTAGTAAAACACTCTCTAAAGATTTTTGTAAAGCGGTCATTTCAGGGTCCTTGGCTATTATTTATTGGTGTGGCACTTGAATCGAAAGTTCAATTTAACTAGACTTCTCAGTGCTAAGTAATCTTGTGATATAAAATGGGTGACTGTCATCAAATGTTTTTTAGCTTGTCAATAATGTTCACTACATCTTACGGTTGTTCTGCTTCTCAAGATAAAACTTGTCGATAATATTCATTATAACTCGGATCCGTTGTTTTAAAAAGACCCCTGAGAATACAAATAGTGTTTATAATTAATTTTTTCAAAATAGAGATTAATTTACTTAATTGCATCTTGGCACCGTTCAGATTGTTTAGTGGCTTTACTCCTGTATCTAATATGTTTGGTTTCTTTGAGATCAGGAATGCACAATGCTAGATCAACATAAACTAGAATAAATTGTTTATTCCCTCCTACCTTGCCTTGATTTACCAGCTGATGCTAATTCTTTCTAAAAATTGTCTCTAGATAACATTCAACGTGTAGCAGTCGTTTGAAGTATGCAAATTCGTCTATGCGTAAAAATGAATTATATTTAAGGTATGATTTCTCTGTGATCTGAAATATTTTAACGAAAGTGAAATTCAGTTACTATTGAAGTCCATAATTTTTCCTCGTTATCACTTAGTGATCACTTCTTAAGGTGTGGGCTAGTTGATTAACATTGGTATAAATTACCAAGACAATAAGATAGCGTTTAACTTGATGATATGCTTAAGTTCGTTGCATGAATTTACTAAGGTTTCTTCTTTGCTAAATTCCTCTCCAAACTTTTTAAACGGTTATAATAGGCTCTAAATAATCTCCAATCAACTTATGAAGGATTTGGGATGGTCAGTAGCGATAATGTCTTTAAAGTGAGTACTGTTTGTATTTTTCTGTTGGTATAATGTTTACTGTTTACAATATGAATTTCTTAAGGAATCGCATGAATTGTCTGTGCAATCGAGTGATTGAATGTTAACCAGTGTACCTTTCACTTAGCATACACAAATGTTATAGTTCTATTTGATGAAGACGCTCGAAAAATTCCGAGTCTTCTGACCATCTTAAGTAACATAAATAATATTCTTGAAATGCATTTCTCCTCTAAATGCAATATTTTGCTTCAGGATGTAACTAATGATAGAGTGAAGTAGTTAGTGCATTGATCATCCCACTTATTTTAGAAGTCTCATCAGCCCTGATGGGATGGTGTCTAACAAAATCTTGGCATGAATTCATAAAACTCTTTTAGTGTCTGCCAACTGAGAGACAAGGTTATTGTGTAACCTAATCTTGAAAAATAGAGGATCGTCGTAAGTCACTACTATTCAATCATAAGTGTTCTTATATTTTGGGACCGTCCAGTTAGCAACTCTGAGGTTAGACTCAGAGTAGTAGGTAAATATGGCGAATAAATTGACAAGGTCAGTCAGTCACCTACAACGTAGGACCAGGCACATATATGCATCGGTCCATGTTGACAAGGTAGTAAATCTTCATTGACTTAGATGGTTAGGGAATATATTACATGGACACTGACCGTTGCACTGAGGTATGTGAAAACTACTTACCTGCCTGTTGTTCATCTGGTTATCGTAACTAATAGTCAGAAACTTTGGGTGACATGGCACAAAATCGTTCACAATGGCGTAGGTAAGTCCATTATTTGTTTTCCCTTAGACACAAGTCCCTAAATCAGTGCCTGATTATTTCTATTACCGCTAATGGTCTTTACTACATCTTAATATGGGGGGTCTTCTTGACAAGTTCATCTCGTTGTGCTGATGGAGTATGACAACTTGAATTGATGTGCACATGTGCCAGGTTATAGGTTCCATATGAGTGACTAATTGAATGGATTTCACATATTTGTGCTCTCGTGAAGATGTATATATATATATAATCTGTTCTTTGGTAAAAGCCAACGCACAACACTATACAATCAGTTTAATCACCTCTGAGTGCTTTAATATTGGTTGTTATGTTAAGCAAAAGACTCTTTGAATATGATTAAATTACGATAAAATTAACACTTCAGAAAGAAATCTTTCTAAGCCGTTAGAATTACCATAAAAATGAAAATAAGTTGATCCTCTTTGGATGTTAACAAGTTTAATAAAAAACCTAAATGAAACTATTGCTTAAAAATAAATGGCTTTTGAACAGTCGAACCATGAAGCGGAAGTTTTGATATAATCTGCGAAAGTTTCAACAGCCCGAGTCAGATAAAACGTCTTTAGGAACTCAGAAAAGATTATCTGAAGTAATAATTTGCATTGGTGAGAAAATCACTAACTGTTCATTTTTCTCATTTTAATTCATAGAGATATAACGGAACTTATATACAGATTAGTTACAATTGTAATGTAACTCACTAGATTCTTGCACCCCAGCTCCATATAGTATATTTAGTATAAGCTGGAAACACTATACACTTCCCCAAGTCAAAGTAGAGTTTCAAAATGGCAAGTGTTTGAGCTGCGAAACAAAGTAGTTCTGAATATTTAGTGTACTAGTTTGCACTAAATTTCATAATTGACCTACACTATAAGACGTGCTTATTCAGTGCGCTTTATTAAAAATGGAAATATATATCACAGTAACTTAATCACTTTCAATCAGTTAATCGGTCTCTCGAAAGTAGAATTGTTCATTTGGTCTTTACCAAGCGTATCATTTCATTAGGCTTCAAATTTGTTTACACTTCAAACTGGCAACAAATTTCAATAATTTAAGATATCTGTTTGTCTGTACGCGAATTGAATTTGCCTATATGTGAAATAACTGAAAAACAGTTGTTATCAAAATCGCATTTTTTCACATAAACTTGCATGTAAATACTCACTTAGAATAAACATTGATTTGAATAATTTTTACACTCATGACTTTTAGACTATTAGCTATGATAATCTAAAGCTGAACCGTCATGCTGAGATTTATATATTTTTATACTGTAGGACAATAATTTATCTGGTAATTTTAATTTTTCATCAAAACATTTAGTAGTCAGTCAAATGCTCGTTCTTATTAGTGTAAACTATAATTTATCAACTCCTGTCAGCCTTTCGCGACCAAAGTTTCCCTCCTAAACAACCTTACTACTGCACTACCAAATCTTTCGCTTCCACGAACATACATTAGCATTCAAGTAACATGATGCTTTATCCATCGTGTTCATGAATGTTTACAGTTACAGACAAAAAAATAAACGAGTCTTTAATCAATAAATTCTTTCAAGTCCTAAAATATTTCTTAAGTTATACTACACTCCTTACTTGTATGTTAAGAAATCATACGCTTGACTATTCAGAAATGAAGCTATTGGGAACACAACTATACTTAATAACATCAATTAAACACAATTCACATGTCTTATCAAACAGCAAAACAATCAAATAGAGAAATCCAATCCCCTTTCTTTTATGAAGTAATTCACATCAACTACCATAAGTGTGGAATCGAGTGAGGTATGAGATTTCTTTCTATTCAGAAATTCATACCAACTAGTAAATACTTAATATTGTATTCATTAATATCATAAGAATCTATAAGCCTATTAAAATCATTATTTTGTGGTAATAATCATTGAATTCATCCTAATCTTCATATGGCAGGTTTGTGATGAACCCCACCCAATGCTTATTAAACAGTTGATTGATCATTGTTCTAAGGGTGAATTGTCAGCTGCTCACAAGATCTTACGTCATTTATGGACTTTGGGATATTCAGCTGAAGATATTATCACCATCACTTTTCGAGTAATAAAGAATCATCCAATGGAAGAGTATCTCAAATTGGGATTTATAAAAGTAAATTATTATAGTCTTTCTGCTTTCTTATAGTGAAGTGGGATCAAACATTTTTCCATCAAGTGCACAATTTTGTAAACGCTACATATTCATTTTCTTGCTTTGTACATTTCTTCATGAAGTACAACAGTAATACCAATCAAACTAGAAACCAAAACCTTTTTTATTCGTAGATTTCGTGACAAAAGTATAATATGACATTTCATTCCAATCGCTGTGTATTTACAATGATATGTATTTATAAAGAAGGGTAGTAAATTCACTAATCGACAGAAAATCCGAAATTTGTTGTGGGAAAAATCAAGATGATATGAATTCGTAAAGTTTTGATGAAGTAACATGCAACCTCCAGTCATTGATAGATTGTGAAGTGTGAGTAAATGTAGTAGTTGCAGTCTTCTCATACAGCACGCTAATGCTGAGGAGCGAATAACAAAGAGAAACTTGAACAGACAACTCAGTAATAACATGGAATCTGTGTGTGTTTAGTGGTACAAAGAGACAACAGTGATTGGTGTACGAACGTGAATTTGATCATATTTGGTGTTACAAGCTAAAATGACGGAAAGTTGAGCTTCGGATGAAAATACATAAATCGTCGTCAACTTTCCGTCTGCAATGTGTCATATGATTGTAGATAATGAAGCATCAAAATGTATGATTTTATTCTGGGCAGTTTCAATGTTGTAGCTTCTTCTACAGCTTGTTTACATTTAAAGTTAAAGTACAGTATTGGTTTTTTGATCAACTATGATCTTCCGTAATTATTTATTTAAACTTATTTTCATTTACCTTTTTACAGGAGGTTGGCCTTACTCATTTACGAATTTCCGAAGGACTAGGTACATACCTACAATTAGCTGGTCTCCTTGCTCGCCTTTGTAAAATAGTGTTACCAAAATAAAAATTTTGTTTTTATTAATATACCATTTCCGAATGTTTATTTTGTACAGCTAGTGACTACCTTGATGTGCTTGTATTAAACTCTTCTCACGTTTTAGATTTTTATTTTTGTATTACGACAATGTTAAACTAAAATATATAAACATAACAACCTGGCTAAGTTCATTTTATCGTCTAATAATTGTTGCTAAAAATAAGATAAATAAATGATACCAATCTGTTTTTTCTCACTTACTGTGATGATACTGGATTGCATGTTTGTTTTTCTACAAATTAAGTTGATTAATAGGGTATCTGTGTGCACAGAAATGTTAGTAAATATATCCTTTAGTTAAATCGCACATTTAAATAGAGAAATAACAAGAATATTTGCAAAATACAATGAATTTTTTGTATTTCGTTGTTAATAGTTTTAGTTATTTCCAATTTGTAAGATAATTTTAAATTTATTGTATGTAATGTGAATGAAAAACAGAACTAAAGTTTCGAAAAATCCTTTCTATAATTACTTGAAGTAAGAGTTTTAGAATGTTAAGATGTTATTAGTCAAATTAGCAACATTTTTTAGAAGTTTAGAAAGGGAAAGTGAACGTGTAAGAGAATAAAATGTTACCGAGCCATTTGACCGATCCTGGATTCCGTAAGGATCGGTTGTGCGCAGACCAAATTGCGACACTACGGATCATCGTCGAACAGTCAGTTAAGTGGAACTTATCACTGTACACCAACTTCATTGATTATGAAAAAGCATTTGACAGTATAGATAGGAGAACGTTATGGAAACTTCTTCGACACTACGGAGTTCCTGAGATTGTCAACATTATCCGGAACTCATACGACAGACTACAGTGCAAGGTCGTGGATGGAGGACAGCTGACAGATGCATTCCAAGTAAGGACCGGAGTCAGACAAGGCTGTCTACTCTCTCCCTTCCTCTTTCTTCAGGTGGTCGACTGGATTATGAAGACCTCGACATCTGAGGGAAAACACGGCATATAACGGACAGTTGAGGACCAATTAGACGATTTGGACTTCGCAGATGACCTAGCCCTCCTATCGCACACACATGAACAAATGCAGATAAAGACAGCCAGTGTAGCAGCAGTCTCTGCATCACTAGGCCTCAACATGCACAAGGGGAAAACCAAGATCCTCAAATACAACACGGACAACAGCAATTCAATCACTCTTGATGGCGAAACTCTGGACGATGTAAAATCATTCACATACCTGGGAAGCATCATTGATTAACAAGGAGGTTCAGATGCAGACGTAAAGGCGAGGATTAGCAAAGCAAGGATAGCATTCCTACAATTGAAGAAGATATGGAACTCAAAACAACTTTCAACCAATATCAAAGTCAGAATCTTTTATACAAACGTCAAGGCAGTTCTACTGTACGGAGCTGAAACTTGGAGAACTACAACAACCATCATCAAGAAGGCACAAGTATTTATAAATAGCTGTCTACGCAAGATACTCAGCATCCATTGGCCGGATACCGTCAGCAGCAGCCTTCTGTGGGAGAGGACACAAGCTTACAGATGAAGAGGAAATTAGTAAAAGATGATGGAAATGGATAGGACATACATTACGGAAATCACCAAACTGTATCACGAGGCAAGCCCTAACTTGGAATCCTGAAGGGAAACGGAAAAGAAGACCAAAGAACACATTACGTCGGGAAATAGAAGCAGATATGAAAAGGATGAATAACAAATGGAAGGAGCCGGAAAGGATTGCCCATGACAGGGTTGGATGGCGAATGCCGGTGAGCAGCCTATGCTCCTTCACGAGGAGTAACAGGCGTAAGGAAGCCATTTGAAGGCTAAGTACTCGCTCTTTTTGAATACGATGGTCAGCTTTATCATTTCTGTTCATTATGACTTCTGCAAATGTTAATAACGTCAAATTGGATTGTTTATTGATAAATTTGAATGAGTCTATCGGACCCGTATTATGCCCCGTGACTGACTAGCAGGTGGGGTTCTATTGAACCTTGTCAATTAGTTCCAACTTGAATGCGTGGGTTTCTTGGGATATGTTCATTACAACAGATAGACACTTGTCTTTTTGTCCTTCTGACGTACATGTAAATTGATATATGCATTTAGAAGTAACATCGGTTGTACACTTTTGTTTGTATTAACAAGCACAGTGTTGTATATATTCGTGTAAACTTTGCAGGTAACATGATTTTTAGGGCTGCTTTTGGTTTCTGATTAGTTTCACTCATTTGATAACTTTTGAATGACAATTGAATCAAACATTCTTTTCAGTTTTGCATTCTTCCGTTTTATTTCTGTATTTATTACTATATTTATAGTTGATAGCGGATAAACATTTTCTTGCAGATCGTTTCTTATTATAGTATGTTCCTTTGGTCAACTTAACTTTCTGGCTCTTTGGTTGAGCGTTTTCACCGACTCATATTTATAGACAATAGGACTAAAGCTTGTTTGTCCACTACAGGTTTCCTTACGATGTATATACCTCTGACAGGTTCTATCCTCTCTTCTGGAAATATCTAAGTCGAGGAAGTAGAACGTGTCATTTTCTTCACGTTCCATTGTGAATTTAGTATATGGATTAACCTTATTAAAAGATCTATGTAGTTTGTTTGCATGATATGGGTCATTACACGAAACAAAAATATCAGCACACCTCACATCAAGTGCAGTCACGTTAATTACAAGTAGTGGTTATATTCTTTCTAAATTTCAAACAAATTTGTCAACAAGTACTGTCCATCACCACGTCATCTGCTTAATAATTTGTTAAACTGGGATCGAAAATTATTAGTACATCCTAATTAAGAATTTGAAGTGTGAGTACTGGCTAACGGTGTCGGTTGTTTTTTCTAAAAGAACATTGGTAAAAAATTGAAACCGTCAGTCTATACGTTGTATTTATTTGGTCCATCACTTGCGCAAATTCGAAAGTGTCCCTGGCATTTTATCTGGGTATTTCGTTACGAAAGCTACGGAAATATGATAACATATCACTACTTAAAGCAGATAAGGATTCTGTGGTGGTATCGATGAATAAATCTGATTGGATACAAAGAAGAATACCAAGTCCAAACAAATTCAAAGCAGAGGGTTCGAACAAGAGCAGGACTGCATTATGAAGAAGTAAAACAACCCAAATTATTTGGAGAAATAAAACCAAAATAAATGATGTTGCGGAACGACAATTTAGACGCCCCACAATCGTAGTATTTCTCGACCTTAAAGCAGCATTCGACTCTGTTGATCGTGAGGTTCTATGGCAGTGTTTGTCAGTGAAAGGAGTACCAAAGAAGTACATTAACCTTATAAAGGCTCTCTACTCGAACACAACTGGTCGAGTGAGAGCTTATGGCGAACTGTCATCAGAATTGATTACCTCAAGTGGTGTTCGTCAGAGCTGTCCACTGTCCCCATTCTTGTTCAGCTTTGTCGTCGACGTACTTTTAGAGATAACACTTTCCTCGTCTAAATTTCCAGGGATTGAACTTCTACCGGGAGGTTCACTTGTTGACTTGGAATATGCCGATGAAATAGTTCTATTTGGTGACGACGCTGACAAAATGCAGAGTCTTCTGACCACTCTAAGCAATAATGCAAGCATGTTCGGGATGCGATTCTCCCCGTCGAAATGCAAAATGTTGCTTCAGGATTAGGTTGCATTGACACCCGAACTAATGATAGGGAGTGAAGCAGTTGAGCGTGTCGATCGCTTCACTTATCTTGGAAGTCTCATCAGCCCTTGTGGTCTGGTGTGTGACGAAATCTCAGCACGGATACAGAAGGCTCGACTAGCTTTTACCAACTTGCGTCATTTATGGCGTAGGCGAGATATCCGTTTATCAACCAAAGGACGTGTTTACTGAGCAGCAGTTCGTTTCGTCCTACTTTATGGCAGTGAAACATGGCCGGTAAGAGTAGATGATATCCGTAGGTTACTAGTATTTGATCATAGGTGTCTTCGAAACATTGCTCGTATATCTTGGAACCATCGAGTAAGTAACACATTTGCTAGGAAACGGGTACTAGGTAAGGATGGCAAATCAATTGATGAAGATATTCGCAGGACGGGTAAGATTACAGTAAATCGAAAGTCCGGATGCTTTTTAGCTTATTTCTCTTGTGTGGAATTTAGGTAGGTAGTACAGTCCAGTGTACTATTTACTCGGTTTAACAATAAGCTGAAGTGTGCCATGCCTTTAAAGCTCAGTTTTAGTGTTATAACCAAGCTGTTAGATCAATAGACAACTAGAACTAAATTACAGACATGAAGTATCCTTTCTTTAGTGACTAAGTAACAGGCACCACAAGGTGTGTATATACATAAGATTTATTTCGTTTAAAGCTTGTTTATGGTCTGCAACTTGTTTGGGGTGATGATGTACAAATTTAATTGGATAAAATTTAAGTTAGTGAACTTGACATTGGAAAATTAAGAGCAAACGTAAGTGGATACAGTAACGCAGGTGAACTAGGGAAAATGAAATGGAGAAAGATGATGAAATGAATTTAAGACTGTAGAACGATATATTTTAAACACAGAAAAAATAATCCAATGCAAAATGCTCTAAGCATCTCGGTTCGTGATTTTTGCAATACGTTTCCGACTAACTCGGATTTGTCTTCTGTGGCGCCACTACACATGATCGCATTTTGTGCTTCCTTTAAATTCAGATTTCTTTTCGTAGTCAAACGTACTTACAGAACAATGGATTTTAGTCAAGTGGTGTCAGACGTATGTCGATGGTTTTAATCCCAAGGTTTTTCGCATCGTGCACAATCACTTCTTTTCAAGGGACCCGAAAACACGCTGAGCAACGGGTGGGCTTAACGACTTAGACGTGTGGCCACAAAACCCAAGGGATGATTATTTGAGGCCGGTCTTACATGGCTTTTTCAAACTCCGCTTGTTAGCCTCATGCTAACGACAAATATCTGCAGGCTGTTTTTGGGGACGTCATCGCTGCAGATGTTGATTGTCTAAAAGAAACGCCATACTGGCGCTACGAACCTGTACGTCCGACTTAGCCCTCAGACCTTGAGTTTGCTGCTTTCAGCCTTACCGCTCTCCAAGCGACGTGCTTCGGAAGGTGGGACCTGTAAATACGAACGTTTGCGTAGGTCATCACGATATGCGAGCTCGGCCACTATGTTAAGCTGAGATACGATTGGGTAGAACAATAAATAAATCTAAATAGAACTTGCAAGAACACTGTTGAAAACTTTTACTGGTACTAGCACTAACATTAGTGTGATGCCTGTGTAGTTCTTACACTTGCTCAAATATCCTCTTCTTGGTGCCTTCTTCTTTCCTGTATATCGTCACTTGTTCTCCATTCCAAATATTCCTGAAAAGGATGTGAAGCACGTTTGCAGTTACTTCTGTATATTTAGCTAGTGTGTTGTGTGGTCCTGATGCTTTACCACTTTTGATTTGTCTGATGGCCATGCTGATCTGTTTGATCGTTCGTGCAGTGATATCAAAGGGAAGTCTGTATCAGCTACTTCGATGTCTGGTGGGTTCAGTGAGGCTGGTCTGTTCGAGAGTTCTTCAAAGTGTTTTGCCGACCTCCTCTACTGTTCTTGAATACCAGTGATTGTCTTGCCTTCGTTCTTGACTGGTCGCTCCAGTTTACTACATTTCTCTGCCAGCCTTCTAATTGTATCACATAGTTGTCGCAAATTTCCTTCTCTTGGAGCTCTTCCCGCTCCTATTGCTAGGTCTTTTGTGTATTTCTGCCTATCGTATCTAATGCTTCTCTCCATTATCTTGTTTGCTTCTGAGTGTGCTCTGGCTTTCTCTGCTCTTAGTTGACTGTTGTTAATTCCTATCTTCTTACTTTTCCTTTGCTGTATCCTCCCTAGGGTTTCGATAACGATCCATTCCTTATGACGGTGGTGCCTGTTGCCCAGAACCTTCCGGTACTTTGTTTGGCTCTTTTTTATCCCTTTCCAGTTGTTCTTCGTAGTAGTTTCCTCTTCTTTGAGGTTTTGTTGCGCTCAGAACTTGTTCCTGAGTTTGTATCTCGAACAAAGGTTGTATTAGACCTTTGTGATGCTGTCTCCACAGTTGTCTAGTGCTTCTTTACCTTCAGTTTCATCTTGACAACCACCAGGTGGTGATCTGAAGACATCAGCTCTCCTCTCTGTCGTCGCATCCTCCATCGTTCTGGACTTTTTATTGACGCAAATATAATTGATCTGATCCATTGTAGTATGATCCGATGAGACCCATTTAGCTTTGTGTACGCGTTTGTGGTATAATGTAGTACCTCCTACAGTCGTTTTGTTGAAGGCATATAAATTTGCAAATCTTCCACCATTTTCGTTTTCCAAGTCCATGTCTTCCCATGACATCTTCATAGTCGGTGTTGCCGATTGCAACTTCGGTGTTTAAGTCTCCTATCAGCATTTCCAGGTGCATATCGTCTTTATTTGGACAACATCAGTATAACTTTATGTATGCAAAGTATTTTATTTGTGGTGATCAAAGTGTAACAACACATCTACTGAAGCCAATTTTTTATGTCCAGCTTGGGTCCAATAGGTTCCGCATACTCCGTGCACCATCCAGTTGTTTCTTCTCATTTCTGCAGCTACTTAACTGGCCCTCGTGGTCGCCCAGGTTGTCTGGACAATCCATGTACGTGTGTCAATTGATCTGGTTGTTAGAAGGATCATCGACCTCGTGACTACCGAAGAGTCTTGGCTCCTACTATCATGTGTCATAATTCTTCTAAATGAAGACCCTTACATGATTTTTCTGACTAGTGTTTTTAGCAGTTTTTACTACGGAATGGTGTTGGTGATTCCACGCCGAACGGTACTCCTTTCTTCTGGCTTTGAACTGGCAGTAACCCTAGGAGGGTTCCAATTAGTCAAAACTCCTTGGTACGTAATCAATACATGACTGCCATCTCTACTACGATTTAATTGATCAGGTTCAAAATAAATTGAACTGTTGCACTAAAAGTTTCAAACTAGACTAATTTAACGACCGGAAGAAAGCTCACAAACACCTATGAGGCAGCTTCATATTCTTAGAACTTGCACACTAGGATTAGTCGCTAATCACTTAAAAATATGGTTGAAATCGTAGTTGATGTGTGACTTCGAAAATTACCAGTAACTGAATTCCCTTTCGCCGTCTTATGAAATCACAGAATCTTAACGGACCCCAGTCGACTTTTCGTTTCACAGACTCATCGAGTTCCTTTTGACAACCTTCATTTCCTGCCTAGCCGATGGATACCAGTCATAATCATGCTGTTAATACACCAATATACAGGCGCAAATTAGTGCTCATAACGTAAGATGGATACGTCCAAGTTCGCATTGCCAACGCAATAGCGCATAAACGGATACCACATACTGGCAGTTCCATTTTTGATAGAAAATTACGACACAAATTCATTATAGTTCATGCTTTTCCAACACCCACTTCCCTTATTTTGTACTCTTTTTACTGCACTAAGCGTTTATCCACCACCAAAAAACTCAAACCTAAACCGAATCCTATAGTGAGATTCTACTTCATACCATACCTGTTTGCGCGATGATGTGACTGAATATCTTGTTACAGACAAACTAGGTATCAGTCGAATTGATTAACCTTAATGTAGTTTCACACAGCTGGTCTGATAACCTTTTCAAAATACACGACTCACAAATGAAGAACAGAGACCTTATAATTAGAGCACTCAGTATTCGATGACTGGGTTGTCCATTTGAACCCCGCGTCATCTACTTTCGCATGGACAGCTTAGTAGTATCACTAAGCCTTACAAAACTCGTACCTTGGAGAGATTAGGTGTCTTCCTTTTCCCTGGTAACTTATTTCTTTACATCACATATTCCAACTCTCAACTGATTTCGTTATGTTTGGAAATACATTTGTCAAAACGGAGTAACATGATGCACAAACTAACAAATAGCTCTTCAGAATCCGTTGCAGCGGCATAGATACTCCATAGTTTACGTCCTAATTAATTTTGGAATCATATTCTCGGTGTCAAATTCTTTCCACAATCCTTGCAACCACTATTATTTAGATTCCTTGGCCACTTGTCTTAACAATCCAATTTCGTCGTACTAGTCCGCTTAAGTAACTGGTTAACGTGCATTTATGGCAGGCACTGTTGTTTGTAAATGACTGACTCAACATCACTAATATATGAATGGTTGACAGATATATTTCTACAATAGCATTCAAAAAAGCACAGTGTATCTACATATTGAGACTTTTTAATCCAAAAAAAATTATTCATCGGATTTAGGCCTCGTAGTACGACATTTATGATTTCTGTTGAAATTTACGGCTGTTCTATCTTCCTACTTTAGATGAACATCACTGGTTACTTTAAAACTAATAAACTGAAATATCAGTATACAACATTTTATTGTATGTAACCTGAATATAACTAATGTGAGATACTAATTAGCTTCAGTGTGATATGTTCCTGAGATTTTATATGGTCGACGCCTTATATTTACGTAGCAGTGAACTTAAACACAGTAAGACTTTATGACTTTGAAAGAAACTGATTGAGAATTTTGTGGGTGACAAAAATGCTATTTAAAAAGCCTTATTTCTTCCATATACCAGTTAAAATAAGAAAAAATACCCAGATCCACCGCAGGTAAATATGACACCCTCTACTAAAAACAAAAATCAAGAGTCCGTTTCAGGTTCATTTGAAGGTATGAAGTGATAATAAAATCCATGAGTAAGATCAACCATCAAATCTGGAGTGCATTCAGGTAGCTCCCCAATCAGTCGGCCAGGTGAGCCACCATATATACTAAATGGAGGTACAACTGTTTCTGGAGGGAGTACTGTATTGTCTCTTAATGAACAAGCATCCTTTAGTACACAACGCCGTCCAATCACACAATTTTTACCAATGTGTACATAAGATCCAATTTGTGCTGCGTTGACAATAGAATCCTCTTCAATGAAAACATTGTCTCCTATATGAAGAGGGAAAAAAGCAACACCTTTACTAAATTTCTTAAACGGTGGACGAATAACAGCCTTTCGGCCAATTACACAGTGGCGTCCAATACGTATATTGGCCAGATCACCTCTTATGATACAATCAGACATAATGATGGTTTTTCCATTTAATACAATGTTCTGACTTCCACATAGAACAGATTTTCGACTAACTTTGTTGCCACTAGCAGTTTCGATATACTGCGATTTTGAATAAAATACATCTGGTAGTTCCATTTACCTAAAAGTACAAAGGAAATCAAAATGATCAAAACTAATGTATATTACATGGAAATCTGTCAGTAATATGCAACATAAACAGATATACTAGCTTCTGAATCTTAAACTTATTTTCAGACGTCAGTCAGATTAGCCGTATTTTAGTTAGGCTTGATTTTTCCATTGGTTTTGCTTAATATGAGAACGGTATAAACTTACGGACTAAGTGGATAAAGAATCCAACATTTTAGCGAAAGTTAGATACGTCCAGCGAAAACAAATTGTACAGCACAGTGGTTAATATTAAACAAAAAGCACAATTTGAAACTTATCAGTTGCTAGAAAGCTGGCAAGCAGTGGAAACAAAATCCATCCAACACTAATCGATATACCAAATAGTGAGTATGGGGTACTCTTTTAATCATATTAACCAACTTATGTTCTCAGATCTACTGCTTCAATGGGGCAGTTTCAATCAAGTAAAAGTGGCTCACAAGTGATATTTATTGGACGGCTGAATTTCAAGATTATTGAGTAGTCATAAAAATTTATGTATGTAAGGATTACATAACATCAGGAACATATCAAATACCAATGAGTGCTCCAACTGAAGTTCAAACTTACGGCAGCGAAAGTTAGGTTAAACACTAGTGACCACATTTTTTAGCAAGTAATCCAAGACGTAATTAGAATGACAATCAATATTGTTGCACAGGATTTTCTTCCATTACAACTACAGTGTTAGTTCTATTATTCACACAACAGGTAATACCAAGCTTTTTAAGGAGAATGAAAAATCCAATTGAGATAAGTTCCGTAGGGGCTGAGAGTTTTTAAGCGAAAACATGTCACAAGTACACGCAAATAAATATATTAAAAACGAGAAGAAACACATTCACTAAAATCTATCTCCCGAAATAGAATTACGAATATCAGTGCTTTTTAATGGAGTGGATGATATAACATAGAGTACCAACACTGCTGGTCAGAAGCATTAAACAAAGTGAACTGCACGCAATTAATATACTCAGTTTGTTTAAGCAAACCTTACTTTGAAATTTCAAAGGGAAGTTTCCATGAAGTGTCTTAGCAAGAAAACTTTACACAATAGTAATGGCTAACAAGTGGAAGCTAGTCTTGGTGTTCATGCACATATCTATCCTAGAAACCTCACGGAGCTCCCCATCTAGATTGTATATATACAATCATATATGATTATACGTACTGATACACTTGTCATTTGAAGTAAAGGGGAATAAGTACGGGTTTATTATTTTCTATCAACATCCATTAGTGGGGTTAACTCTTAGACCCGACTACAGTACAGTATTTATGACACATAAGTGATGCAGCGCAAAACAACATACAACGCGCGTGAGATTGCGAGTCTATAAGCTGTAGGTCATTCATTCAGTCTTCAGTAATTAGTATGATGAACCCGTGTTAATCCTGACAGATTGGCTTCCAAAAAAGGTCTAGCTGCTTGAAATTATTCATCGATGGGGCTGATACCACTTGTTTGGGCAAGGCATTCCAGTCACGACCACTCGATGAGAAAAACGGAACCTCATTTTAAGTTTATTAGATCGCAGTTTGTGAAAATTCGTGCTATGATTTCATAGATTGTTAGCGCTGAAAAGAGCGAACAGATAAGATATATTAACACCTAAATCATAATTGAAGATACGAAATGTCAGTATAAGGTCACCTCACGTCCTACGGTACGACAAGGGAAAAGGTTAAGGCGCTCATCGTAAGGGAGTTTAGAAAGACCTATTACTAATTTTGCTTCTAAACGCTCATGTGAGTTAGTATCCTAGCTAGCTTGAATACGGTTCTCTAAGTCCGGTCTTCCATAGGTGGGATATAAAATCCGAAATATTTCCTCGTCAAAGCTTTTGAATGCTCGGCGAAGTGACCATAATGCACGAAAACCATTGACAGCATCTGCGTTGCAATGCGTAGTTATTTTCAAGTCATGAATTGCCATTACGTCTAATTCCTTATGTTCTTGAACGCGTGGAAGAGATGTATCATCAACAGTATACTGGTAACTATTTCCATGTCCGATGTGCATGAACACTCTCTTCTTAGAATTAACTTCTAAGCCCCAACCTCTAGCCCATCTAACTAGTTTATCCAATTCAGCTTGAAGATCCAAATGATCGGCCTGACTTCTTATTGTTCTCCAGAGTTTCACATCATCCTCAAACAATAATGTCGACGATTTAAGCAACAGCGGTCCCGGTATCTTATAAGGTTTGAGGTTTCCTCAGTCACATATAAAGATCCTATGGCTGGTATCTCGGATTATTGTGACTATTATTTGGAGAAACACACGTAGTGTAGACTTCGCTAAAGCAGTTGGAGGAAGTCTCAGCTTTTGCCTGACTCGATCAAACTAGTAAATCTGAATTTTCGTGTAACAGTAATGGGGGAATACCATCACTACAATTTGTTCACCGTTTAATATACGAAAACAATCGTTTCGAACAAGTACGGCTACGATATCCCAACTATCTTTCCTAAGTAGTACAGGATTTAGCTATGGTCTCTTTGCATATATTCCAGATTTTTCGATATTCGCACTTAAGTGGTGCGTGTTCTGTTGACAAGAATAAGTCCCAGAAGTGTTTCCTTCGCTTCAACAGCTTCCGGGTTTCCTTATTAATCCATCGTGTGCAATGTAGTAGCTTACGTGATAACCATAGGATAAACGGTGATGTTACGGACTCGATTGTGTCCTTAAACCTATGCCATTCGTCTTCGATCGATCCATCCACGTCGACCCACCAGACAGTCGACATAGTACAGTCCCTGATTGCCGAGATATTGGCTCACCAGATATTAGAACGGGGTGGAGCAGACATAAATTGTATACCATGTGCTCCAAACTCGAAGTAGAGTACAACGTGACCACTATTCACTAATATGGGAGGATTCTGAATGTCGATGACATCCTCACACTGGTGTGTGAGGGCAAAGTCTAACAATGACGGGTCATGTTCCCAGTCAATATGTGTCGGTTTCGCGATACATTGTGCAAGTGCACACTGAATAATGGTTGATAGAAGCTAGCTATCGAAACCTTCACCCGGAGCTATAAGCTCTATCCAGTTGATATGCACTGCGTTGACGTCTCCAATGATGAGACAGCATCCTGCCTTACTCCAAGCACAGATGTATCTAAAGATAAAGTCGTCAGCAAGACAACACGGACTACGGTATACTCATTCTATAGTCACTAATCCGTATCTGGACTTAATTGTGCAACATGCCGCCTCATATGTACCACTAACATGCTCCTCCGACATGACTGATTATATACGGAAATGGTCTCTAACGTATAATATTATGCCTCCTCTACTGCAACTTAAAAATCTATCAGTTCTAATACAGATGTAACTTGCAATGATGGGAGAACCGTGTATATGTACAGTGAGCCAAGTTTCTGTGACGACGATTATATCGGAACTTAATTCGTTCACCATCAAACTTATTTCGGACGTTTTATATCGAAGACTACGGGCGTTCTTGTAGCACACTTTTAAGGTGCTTTGGGAATCATTCGATCTACCCATATAGGTCGCGGAAGCAATGGTTTCGAAGACCTGATTACCCGCAAGCCCTTAATCGTAAGGTTTGTTTCGCCAATTAGCTTTTGAGTTCTTAACTCTTAAGAGCATTCTTCCACTCGATTCATTCCTCAACAGGCCAGTCTGTTTGGATACGAATATTTGAATCACGAGTGTTGTGTGTGCTATTCAGTACTATATCTCTTTCCTCGAAATTCCCGAGTACCAACTTCAAGATCCTTCTCTGTCGGTCCTCGCCTCCAACCCACTTACCAGGTCGGATTAACTTCTTGATATGTACCCAGAGAACAAAAATTTTGGTTGTCCACATCTATAAGTACAATCAACCATTGTTATCAGATTAAGAAAGTTTAGGACACAATATGAACACAAGTGTCAGTCAATGAGAAAGAATGTAACACAAGACAAAGTTTACCAATATTTCAAACCTTAACAGAAATAATTCACTTGATATTGTTTTATTTGAATCTTCCCATTGATGTTTTTTTTGGACTGAAATTGATCAGTCTCTTATTGGCATATGTGCATACTGTGCGTATGCCTCGATATTGCCTTAATTTACAAGCATTGTAAGCAAAGATGGATAGTGGCTAGCAGTGAAATCCAGGACGCGCGTTTCGTCCTGTTTGGGACTCGTCAGCTGGATGTACCTGCATCTCAGAGTTGATGTTCACTCTGGGACTCGAACTCAGTACCGTTCGCTTCAAACGCCATCGCGTTATCCACTTAGCTACTGAGTCCTGATAGCCACTTGCTTGTGCAATGGGTTGAAGTTTAATTCACTTGATATTGCTTTATTTGAATCTTCCCATTGATGTTTTTTTTGGACTGAAATTGATCAGTCTCTTATTGGCATATGTGCATACTGTGCGTATGCCTCGATATTGCCTTAATTTACACTATTCATCTTTGCTTACAATGCTTGTAAATTAAGGCAATATCGAGGCATACGCACAGTGTGCACATATGCCAATAAGAGACTGATCAATTTCAGTCCAAAAAAAACATCAATGGGAAGATTCAAATAAAGCAATATCAAGTGAATTAAACTTCAACCCATTGCACAAGCAAGTGGCTGTCTGGACTCAGTAGCTAAGTGGATAGCGCGATGGCGTTTGAAGCGAACGGTACTGAGTTCGAGTCCCAGAGTGAACATCAACTCTGAGATGCAGGTACATCCAGCTGACGAGTCCCAAACAGGACGAAACGCGCGTCCTGGATTCCACTGCTAGCCACTATCCATCTTTGCTTACTTAACAGAAATACTTTAGTTAAAGTGAACCAGGAATGCTTTTTCTGCAAAAAGTACACAACAGTAAGGCTAATCACAACAAGTACAAAATAAGTGCATATTCTAAAAACGCGCGTTCCATTTCAACGGCAATGAAATTTTGATATATGGACTTCCCAAAGATATTCCTGTTCATAAGGTAGAAGGCTTATTCAAAAAAGGGTAAGATTTTATTTGACGACTTCAGTTTGTTCATGTGAATTTATGAACACACATCCTTCCCAAACACACTGTAGTAAGGTGTTTCAAATTATCAAATGTAAAATGAATATAAAACAAATGTAAGTATGTGAAATAGAATTTAAATTGATGACTTAGCCCCTATTTACTGCGTTCATTTACTAATCGAACGGGAAAATACTCGCCTCGGGAGCTTGGAAGGTTTATATAACATAACGTTCTTCAGTATGGTTTATCTAATGTTTTGGATTGGAAATTGCCCAAAAGCCTTTAAGTCATCTTACTTTTTAGATATTATTTGATCTGGATAAATATGAAGATTGCCAGTTTATGTGATTTTTGTGCACTGTTAATACTTTGTCTCAGTTATACATTTGTGTTAACCAGTGAATCGACTTTATAGATGACCAGTTGTGACAGATACTCCCTCTTAACAACAGAATATATTGCTATTAAAAATTTATAGAAGTGTAAAGAGGAATCGTTGACATACTTACCTTTCCACGGCATGTAATCGACTAATTCGCGATAGTCAACTTTAACCCTAACGAACGGAAAAACTAATAGCCAGTGACGTGTTATCTTACATAGAAGTGGTTTAGTCTGAATGATGATTTGTTTAGGACTTGGTAACGTCTACCTGGCTCTACAATTACTTTGAATTCTCTGTAATGTTGACCTACTATATGTGATTGACTTTATATTCGGTCGATTTCAATCCCACCACAACACAAAGCCTTAAAATGGAAAACAGATATTCAATAGAAATTGAAGGGAAATCTGGATTTATAGGTCGACGTTCCTCAAGCTATATGTACTTTGTTTGATGACAGTGTGGATAGATGTGTTCATTGTATGTTTATGTGATCCACTTTGTATTAAGTCTCTGTCAATATGTGTTGGAATTGTGGTATTCGTACGAACTAATAATTTTTCGCACTTGATTACACGCTGATTACCATTTCCAAATATAACACATTCACTTGTGCTCACCTATTTCTATCTGTCCTAAAGTGCACTATTTCGGGAATTCTTCGTTGGCACATTAATTCGAATACTTCTAATAATTGTAAGAATTCCTCTGTTTATGTTTCCACCTATGACTACTATCCTTCGCTTCCTTAATAGGTATCACTTCTCCGTTTATCTGTATTTACGTGTTACGTTTGCGTATGTTGCTTGTTTGCAATAACTGTTCAACTTTTGTCTTACTGAAAATTTTGATTACTGGTGACCAATATACTGACAGACCGTCTATTTGGTTAGTTCCGTCTGACTTAATTGTCTGAATTTATCACTG